ATTTTTTCTAATTAAAAACATAATTTTTAATTAGTATTATTATAATTATTATAATAATAATAGAAATAATAATAATAATAATAATAATATTAATATAATAATAATAATAATAATTATAATAATAATAATATCATTATTAATAGGAAATGAAATAATATAATAATATAATATAGGCCTAATATAATGTCAAGCAGTAAATTATTAGCACAATTTTCTCTGTAGAATTTATTTTAGGCCTAATTAGGGGTTTTGATTGTATTTAGTAGACGTATGGATTTCTTATCACAAACATTACGATTGCTGTGTTTTATTTACATTGACATCGCGTGGGTTATTCAAATGGCAATTCAAATAGCTTATGTATCACTTATGTTACATCTTAGCTTGTATTTGAACAAAACGTGACAAGGTTTTTGTCTTTACATATCGGTTGACATCTACGCTTTAGATTCGTGATACATTTGTTTGCCTTATCTTTGCGTCGTCAGTAAGTCTTACATCTGAACAATTTTAAATATTAGCCTAAAAAGTAAGACATTCAAGTATCATATCGGTTACATTGTGTATAACGTGTATTTCTAGGCATTCCATATTATATTCCTAATATAGGCCTACAGCACACTGTCAATAATATAACATCAATATGTATTATTAGGCCTATAATAACTTAAATTACTTATGATTCCCACAAAAGCACTTGAGACATTTTGTCGAAAGTATTTAGAAACCTCTGAGTATTTATATATTTATTTATAACACGTCAGAAAGGCAAATTATCACCCCTATATTTGAAGTAAATAGGCCTAGAGAATTTTCAGTACCCGCTCCGGCTTCAGATTCAACACTAGTCACCAAGCATAAACTCGGTGGTCTACTGGTTATGCCACCTGGTTAATTATCTGGAAGTCGTAGGTTCGATACCAAACTAATTTTGCATGTATTTGGGGACGTAAATCTATTAAGTATTCGGTAAGATAACACGTCATGTAGGGCAAAGCAGGCTATCACTCCTATAACTTTACATTTTGCAAAATTATATTGTAACTGTATATACATTTAGTAATAGACCTCGCCCAATAGTAATCAAAAGGCAATTTTATAATGTAAACGAATATTAAACGTACATTTTGCAATGTAGGTATATAGTTTTTAAACAGCTGTATATATTATTGCAAAATATACGTTAATTGTTTAAATTTTGCTAAATGTAATGATCCAGTGCAATGTGCTACGATTAATTACGATAGACCACAAAATTTAGTACGACGACACTGATATTTTCAATAATTTTACCTCAAAACCCCAAAACTACTAGCTGTGCTGAAAATCATATTAGGAAAAACTTACCAGAGAGTACAAACGCTTAAATGTAGGCCTACACCACAGAAAGAGTTAAAAGTATTATAATCGTGGTAGGACAGAACGTTCACAGAATCATATATTTGTGTGAGATCAGAAAACAGAAGGTAGACTTATATATACTTCAGTTATATTTAATATTACATAATTTTTTAATTTGTTTCAATGTTGTGATAATTATTGTATTTAAACAGATGTAAGTTCTTTTAAAATGAATATGTTGACTCCTTAAATATTGATACTGATCTGGAACGTTTTTAATTCTAAGCCTTTTGTTAAATTTCTAATTAATTTTGTATTAAATTTGTATGTTTCCACGATGCTAATAGTCAAACAGGTGTTTGGATGAAAATAATTTGTTAATGAAATGTGCATTTTATTTGTTATTATTAAATGCGATCATTATGGTATATTATTCAATATTTCGTTCTAGATTATCTTCACGAATTCCTGATGATGTTTTAATAGACACGAAAAATTAAATCCACATTACTTCGATCTGTCTGTTTGTAGTGTACATGTGTATTATTATTATTCTATGTTAATATAATCAGTTTGGCATATGGTATTTATTTTTGAATGCGATAATATGTGCTACCTGTGCTAGATGTTGATTAAATTTTATAGAATTACTCAGTTCTATTTTTTTTTAGTAGAAACTTAATAAAACCTACAAATAAACTATGAATTCGAATTGTGTGTCTGATGTGTTGTATGTGATTTAAGGTGAAATAGCGAAAAGATGACAAATGGGCTTAATCTCAAGAAAAAGCCTTCTCGATCGGAAGCCCAGGCTTGAAAAGCAGCCAATGGCTTTCTTTAGGATAGTTTAGGCTACAAATTAGGCCTTTATAAAATCTATAATTTATTATTTTATGGCAATAAATGATATTAAAATCTTCAGTTAATGTTATTAGCTTAGCAAGATCTTTTAATGTTTTCTTACGTGAAACGTTTTGCATGACTGTACTCTATACTTCCGACTGTTGCATAAAAAAGGTAATTATAACGTACCCAAATTTTAGGTGCAAAATACTTACGAATGATAGTAAATACATTTGTAATTTATCGCGGTACATTTAAAAGACGTAGTCGGCTCATTCACGTGTAGAGTTGGAGCATTAGCGTCGATGTTTCTTGATCTCTTGAGGTATGACTTAATATCTTTCCTTTGCGTTTCCGGACACATGTTCACTAACGAGAGTTTGTATGATGAGGGACTGTGTTATTAGTTTAATGTCAGCACCACCATTATCGTCATTATTATCATTATTACCAATTGTATTCCGATTGTTTATCTATATTATACATCATCATTATTATTATTATTATTATTATTATTATTATTATTATTATTATTATTATTATTATTATTAACCTTATTATTATACATTATTTTTATTATTATTATTGTTATTATTATTACTATTATTATTATTATTATTATTATTATTATTATTATTATTATTATTATTATTATTATTATTATTATTATTATTATTATTAGCTGAAAAGCCTCTAGTAGGTGACATAGCATTCTACTAGAGGTACTGTTTTGATTGGTTAAACACTTTTGGTACTAGTGCATATAAGCTTGCTAATATGGATAATTGTTTCATTCCTGATGATGACATAATTAATGTCGAAATATTGAATCCCAGCACGATGGCGTGCATTTCAATACTTGGAGTATGTATTTTACTTTCTTATCTGAGATTAATCAGTGGACCTTTCGGTTTTTATGTTTCAACAA